CCACTTCTCCCTCTAGGTACTACTCTGTTTCTTCATTCTCCTTTCCACAATGAAACTCCTTGCAAGAGTTGTCTGTATTTACTTTCTTTAATTCCTCTTTTCCCCTTCTCTCTGAAGTCCTCTTCAAGCAGGCATTGGCTTCACCACTCTGCCCATACTGTTGTTGTCAAGGTTGCTGATGACTTCCCTATTTCTGTATCAGGCCCTAGTCATCATCTTATGCTATACTTTATTAATATTTGGCATATTTGATTACTTTCTCCTTGAAACAGTTTCTCATTTGGCTTCTTGGAATTCTGTTTGATCCAAGTACGCCATCGTTCAGTCTTCTGGCCTTGCTTTGTCCATGGTAAAGTGAACTCCCTTAGTGAACTCGTCCCATTCGCAAGCTGATAATTCCCTGATTTGTATATCTAGCCCACAACTGTCTCCTGAACTCCAGATTCATATATCCAACTGCCAACTTGACATTCTCACTTGGATGGCTAATAAAATTCTCAAACCTAATATGTTCAAAACTAATTTTTGATCTTCTCATTCAAACCTGCATCACTCACAGTCTTCCTCATCTTATTAACTGACAACTCAAATCTTTCTAGATACTCAGGCAAAAACCCTAAGTGTTATCCTTGGCTCCTCTCTTCTTTCACACCCCATATCTATTGTGACAGCATATCCAACTTGACAGTCATTTCAACTTCAACATTTATCTGGAATCAGTGAATTGTATTACTTTCAAAACTCTTGTCCTAGTCCAGTCTACCATCATCTCTGAAATGACAGCATTTCTGACACTGAAACAGCCTCCCACCTAGTCTCCCTGCTTTTGTCCTCTAGCCCCTCCACGTATTTGTTCTAAGATTGTAACCAGAGTGATCCTTTTAAAACAAGTCAGTTCGGGGGGTGCCTGGGTGGCTCAGTTGGTTAAGCAGCTGCCTTCGGCTCAGGTCATGATCCTGGGGTCCTGGGATCGAGCCCTGCGTTGGGTTCCCTGCTCAACCGGGGGCCTACTTCTCCCTCTCCCTCTCCCTGCTTGTGTGTGCTCTTTCTCTCACTCTCTCTCTCTCTCTCTCTGTCAAATAGATAAATTTAAAAACATTAAAAAACAAAACAAAAACTAGTCAGTTCATGTCTCTTTTCCCAAAACTGTAATGGCTTCCCAACTCAAGCTATAAAAAGCAAAATCTTTAGAATGACCAACAGGGCTCTATACCAGCCCTGTCCAATGGAAAAATAATGCAAGCTATACATGTAATTTTAAATTTTCTACCAGCCATGCTGTAAACGTAAAAAGAAAACATAAATTAATCTTAATACATCTAACTTAAACCAATATATTGTATGTTATTTCAACAGTAATCAATATAAGGAATTATTAAATGAATTATTTTACTTTTTTATAGTAAGTCTTCAAAGTCTGACGTGTATTTTATACAATTTGGATGCCAAATTTTGATTGGAAATACTTGATTGGCATTTAGGTTTCATAAAATTTACAGTTGAACAAGTAGATTTGCATACCCAAGTAATTCTAAACATTCTTCAGGGTTTTCTAATAACTGAATCCAGTATTGGTTTTTAAATTTAAAATATTAATTAAAGTTAAAAAAAAATTAAAATTCAGTTCTTAGCTACAGTTCAAATGCTCAATAGCCATATGAGGCCAGTGGCTATCATATTAGACAATGTAGCTCTTTACCATCTGGCCCCTCTTCTCTGACCTTATCTTCTGTGGCTTTCTCCTTCACTCATTCTGTACCAACTATAATAATGGCCCCCTGTTCTTTGATCACAGCAGACACTTCCCATTTCAGAGCCTTTGCATTTGGTGTTCTCTTTGCCTAAAAAGCTTTGCCCCCAGGTGGCTACATGACTTCATCCTTCATCTTCTTCAGGTCTTTGCTCAAATGTCACCTTCTTAGAGAAGCTTTTCCTGACCAGTTTGTTTAATAACTATACCATTTGCCTTCTGTCTCAAATTCTTACATTTCCAGGTTGCCTTTTGAAAGAAGGGAGACGAGGGCTGAGAGGGGAGAGGTGACCTGATCTACAAAGGGAAGCAGTGAAATATGAGAATTGTTCCATACAGAAAAATCAATGAATATGTTAGGCAGAAGCATAGAGTAAAATTGAATAAGTGACTGTATCCCCTCAGCTCACTGCTACTTAGGCAGCTCAAAGGATTGTTTTGTTTTTTTTGTATGTGTGTATACATGACTTGACCCCCTTAGAGATTGTAAGCTCCTTAAATGCAAAATTCTGCCATAATAGCCTTTTGGATCTTCTTTGGCACCTAGCATAGAACTTTGACCAAAAGACAATCTGTATTCCAATTATGGGCCATCTATTGATTAGCCTTCTGTGTTTTATATTCTTGGTGGCATCTACCTTCCCTTCTTTGTCAGTGCTAGCAACTGGTATATACTTGCTGATGGTATATGTGTGTTGGCTTCACATGTGCTATGGCTGTGATTGGGACACTGATTTCTTCCTTGTCCAGTCTCGTGCACTCTTATTTGTTTTCCAAAACCAACTCCTCTAAGGAGTCTTCATCGCTGATTCTCCTAGTTTATTAACTCCCTCCTCAGTGCTGCCTGTATGTATGTATACTTCTGTTTTGTATTCTAGTAGGGAACATAAACATGTAAACATAATTACAATAGAAAATGAATTCTTGAGGACAGGGACCATGCCTTATTCATTTAAAAATCTTTAATGCTTTCCTCAGTGCCTTGCATATAGTAGGTACTCAGTGCTTGTAAAATTGAATGAACCAAGTACAGAGCAGTAAAGAGAGTTGCTGTTAATGGGCAAAACTTATGTTGTTTAAGATGCAGGTCTTAAGCCCAAGTGTCTTTTTCTAAACCACATTGAGAGGCAAGAGATACAGAGCTGTGAGAGAGTATGTGAAGAGGAATAGTAAAATCCAAGATCAATCCCTAGATAGAAGGGAGGCTAAGGTTCTGAGGGACTCAGAAGAATTTAGTATGTTGGAAAGCCAGGGAAGCACGTGTATTCAAAGGGAGTGATGAAACTCATCTGTTTGTATTACAGGAATACTGTTTTCAGTTTTACTCTGGATTTTGCTCTTGATATATTATTTCTTGATGTATTTGTACAGTTATTTGCGTCCCTACTTAAACTTTGACAATCTGGCATCAGGGTAAAGATCCATCCCTCATTTGTTAACTAAGAGATTGGGATAAATACTTTTTTAATTATGAAACTTTTTTTTTTTTTAGATTGTATTTATTAGAGAGAGAGAGAACATACAAGCAGGTGGAGGGGCAGAGGGAGAGGGAGAAGCAGACTCCCTGCTAAGCAGGGAGCCCAACACTGGCCTCGATCCCAGGACCCTGGGATCATGACCTGAGTCGAAGGCAGACGTTCAATGGGCTGAGCCACCCAGGCGCCCTAGGGATTGGGACAAATACTTATTAAGAATCCTTCTAACTCTGTGGTTCTGTTATTTTGAGTAAACCAGATCCTATTATCAGGTACTTTAATGGAATCCTGTTGGGCACAAGTATTTCTATCAGTTTTGCTTGTTTGCTGCCCCTGTTTGTTCTTTATAAATGGAGTGCACACTAAAAGTAGGTATTTGGGTTGCCTATGAGGATATTTTGGTAGTAAGCTCATAATAGGAAAAAATATTTTGATTTTGAATTAATTATATTATCAGAAAATTGGAATTTATGCACTTTTTCTCCAGAGATACTTTTGGTGACTCAGGAGTTTAAGCTGGCACTGTGTCTTGTCAGTTAACTGTTTCTGATCAGGGGTTCTGGGTAAACTGGAACAGTATTTCTTCCTCTCGATGCTAATTCATGACGAATGGATGGCAGTACATGAGCATATTTCAGCAGGCCTCAGAAAGAAACAGAAGGGATGAAAATTCTTTTTCTCTGGTTCTTAAACATATGTTCTTTGTTTTAAAAAATGAGGCGCCTGGCTGGTTCAGGTGGTAGAGCATGTGACTTGACTTCAGGGTTGTGAGTTTGAGCCCCACCTTGGGTGTAGAGATTACTTACTAAAAGAAAATCTTAAAAAAAAAAAAAAGAAATGAAAATTAAATATAAAAAATATTACTCCTCCAAATAAGTATTATAAGAAATAACATAATAGAGGAAACTCCACAATACAAATAAAAGGAGGTGTCTGCCTTTCTTCTTTATGTTCTAACGCTCCCCTTCTATGTAGCCTCAGCCACTTCAGACTAGACCACTCTGTTGGGCTTAATAAATCTCTCTCTTTTTAAAAAAGATTTATTTATTTGGTGGGGGAGAGGCAGAGGAGGAGTCTCAAGCAGACTCCCCACTGAACACAGAGCATGGCTCACTCTATCCCAGGACCCTAAGATCATGACCTGAGCCGAAATCAAGAGTCAGATGCTTAACTAACCCAGGCACCCCTAAATCTCTCTAATTCTTAATTGCTTTTCCCTCACAGAAAGCATGACAACTCATTTACTTTAGTTTTTATGTTTACACATGTCTGCTTCCTATCAGTGTAGCTTCTCTGTGTCAGTCTGAAAGTCTTCCTCTTGCATATGGACTACCCCTCTTGGACTTTTTATGAAGTGCTACCCCTTTTTTCCTTTCTGAGAGCCAGATTTTCTCTCCCTTTAGTGGGTACTAAACAGAAGCAACATTCCTATCTGTTGTTCATATGAAGGTGACATCCAACAGTTGATTAAGAAACTTACCTTGCTTCTTAACACTTATGCCCAGTTCTTCTGTTGGCAAAGCTTGCAGGGCTCACCACAAAGATCCCACTGTCTAGTTACGGTTTTAGGGAAAACAAGGTGTTCTCTTTCTTCCCCATCTTATTTATCTTGTCACATACTTTTCTCAGAATGATTTAATATATTAAGTATTTTATAGACATTCTAATGCATCTGCCTTAAATTAGATGAAATAGCTATTTGATGTTGTGGGTGATGCTGTGAATTTGTGATTTGCATGGCTTCAGATGTCATAATTTTTCCCCCCACTTTCTAGGAAGTAACAGCTAGCAGTCGCCACTATGTTGACAGGCTATTTGACCCTGATCCCCAGAAAGTTCTACAAGGTGTCATGTAAGTAGTATGTATTTAAGAGTCTATCAAAAAGTCTTTTTTTGTTTTGTTTTGTTTTTTTAGTCTTGTTTGTTTTTGTGTTTGAATTTGCCAAATATTATAATTCTGAAAATGCAGGGTTAAAACTTTTTTCTTCTGTTTTAGAAGGATCCCCGACATTCATGACTTTACTATTGTACTGTAAAGAGTTGTCTGATAGTTGTTCACTGACATGGTTAACTTACTTTTTTGTAGAATACTTGTTTTATCATTTTAAAACATGTTTTTAGAGAATGCTTTTGTGACTTTTATATCCAACAAAAGCAAAGGAATAAAACTGATGATCTTTTATAATTGTAAAGAGTGGGAGAATACATCAGTAGGGTTTTTTGTTTTATTTTGTTTTTGGTTAACTCACTGGCTATAAGGCTTGAATCTCCTACTGATGTTTTAAATCTCAGAGTTCAGAAAGCAGTCATTGGAAATCTAAATTCTTGATAATCTGAATGCCCATTTTTTTTCCTCCAAAATTCCCTAGTGTTTAATGTGAGGAAACATTTTTAAGCAACAGACCCGAGGTGTTAATATTTTTAAAAACTTAAGTCAGATAAGTGTGATAAGATTGCAAGTGATTGAAAGATGAATTCTCTATCCTAAGAGCAGATTATTATGCTCTCGACACATGACTTCTAGGGGAGAAGGTCTAGCCTAAGACTCCTATTAGCGTTGGCAAACATGGAGCGCCCACAGGCTTGAACTGTGTCCAGGGGAAGGAGGAAACAAAAAAGGGTCAGGATGTTTGGTATAGCAGTGAGGGCACACATGAGTCCCTGTATTATTCTCTTACCCTGTTAGTGTCATCAGCCAAATAGTACTTTTCAGTTTAACTTTTGCTCAGTCATGGCAAGGCGAGGATGCTTTCTTTATAGAAGTATCTACAGATTGTAATTCTTATTCAAACCACTCCCCCCTATCTTCCCCCCAAAAAAGCGCATTGTATAAGGCATGTCTTGGGGATGTGGATTTGTAGGGTAGAGGCAAGATAAAAGTGAGTAAGGATGCTTGACTATTCAAATTGAGCTGGAAAAGAAGGGGAGGAGCTGGATGTAGACCCACCTGGCATACTTGACACCTTACTTCACATTTTCTCAGTTTACAGAATCAGGAGATTACAGTTCTTATTTTCTCATTATGTTGACCTTGCCTTTGTCCCCTTCACTAGGAGACTTTGTAATGATTTAATCAGCCCCATTTGTAGACTAGTTTGATTATTACCAGAAAAAGTGTTATTAAATCCATCTATTAAATAAATTAACACTCCTCCTTAGGCAGACACTCCCCACACACAGCCAGACAGTTTTGTATATTAGTAATCCTCGATATCATTTAGGATTGTTCAATAAATAGTTCAGTTGAAAATGTCAGACCCATTAAGTGTTCCATGAGTGACAGAGATGATGTATCATTATTTTTATTATGATTGCTAGAGTGGTTATTTAGGAGAAAAGCTAATTTTGTCAAGATTTCTGTGTGAAAGACTTTTATCTTGTATCAGAAATGAGTAGCTAATTCAGGTGTTACTTGTCACTTTGTGAAATTTCTCATTTCCCAAAGAACACTGTAGCTTCTTGAAAATTGATAAATAAGGCATAAAAAACAGTGGAAAGAGTATATTGTAACAAACAGGCTAAGGTGAAGTTTGATGGCCTTAGCACCTCTTAAAAAAGTTATCAAGTCTAGGACACTAAACTGTTAGCTAAGACAGATGAGCAAAATTTTTGTGGAGGGATGGTGGAGTACAAAGATTATGGGCTTTGGAGTTGGACAAGAGGTTGAATTCTTGGTTCCACTTATATGGATATGTGTAGTGTGATTTGATAAAGTGTCCCTTTCCCCAGAGAAAAATTTATTCTTTCTTACTTACTATTTTCCTAAACTTTGTCACTGTCTGAAAATTAATTGTACGTAGTCAAGAGAATAAAAAGTGAACTGTATTTTTAACATTTTATTCTTAAGTAACCTTGTCTAGTACTGAAATAATACAGTATTGATAGAGGAAAGGGGGAACCAAAATGAGGTTTAGGAAAAGAGAGTTGACCAATTTTTTTCTCTTTTATACACATTACATAGCTACCATTGAGTCATACAGAGACCATTACTAGACCAAAATAGGTAGGTAGAAGGGAAGTAGCCACACAGTGTAAACAACCAAAGGTACCCTCCTAACTTTAAGGAAAGAGAAGGTAGAAGCTGAAGTAATCAGCTTTGAGTCCAAAATATCCAATTGGAAAGACATTTTAAAAATTGGCAACTAGCTTTAGCTATGAGACAACCAGAGTTTTATCATTTTTCTAGCTATAAGCTTGATTTTTCTTAATAAGGATTGTGAACATATAAAACATACCAGCAGGAAAAACAAAATTGAAATTAAAGGCAAGTAAGGACTTCTCATCATGGTCTATAATCTGCTCAGCCATGTTAGAGCCACAGTCCTACCCATACATATAGGGAACTTCTTTGTAGCTAACCCATGTCACAAAGGACCATTTTACATAGTTAGTGAATGTGCCGTTATTGAAAATTACTGTTCAGCAACAGAAATGCTTAATTTTCATTGTTGAAGAATGAGGAATTCTCTAGAAATAACTTTTATTAGTTGTACAATATTTGGTATAAATTTAAATGATTATATTGTATCAAAGGTTTGAATACAGAATCAGATTCTAAAAGAGCAAAGTTTCAAATACATAACTGAATCGAAGATCATTAGGTAGGATATAAGATAGATACGAACAGAGAAAACAGGGAGGTCCGTTGTGTAGGTCATGAATTATAGCCTTTGGAACCGAAACAGAGTAGCTATATCAAAGAAACTACACTGCATTGCAAATTCTGAGCTTCCTCTAGGAGACAGATCTGTATATTACCTTAAACAGTTACAGGATATTTTTTTGGTGAAGTTGCTAATGTATTAGCTCAACGATGTTAAATCTCCTAGTTGAAGAAGAAAACTATTCAACTGTTTTTGTAGATAAAGTCAAAGCTGCTTAATACTGTGATTTTTTTAAAAAATATCTAATAAATTAGAGCACGTGATCTGGTTTTTACATTAGTGACTCTCTGGAAAAGATCACCAGATATCACTACGTGGCCCTGTGTTGAAGAGCAAAAGATGATAAAAGTCAATGTGGCTGTCTTTGTAGTTTCCAAGTTGAATAGAACTAGGAAACTAGACTGGATCTCTTGGTAATCTCAGGCAGGCAGTTAAGGGTACTGTAGAATTGTTGGGTGATTTTCACCAAGTATCCACTTCTAAAAAATATTTTCTGAAGTATTTTAATGTACTGATGATATAAGTTTATTTTGGTAATGATTACTTGATTTTTCTGGTTCCAGGAAATTATGTACCTCTGGTTTTAGTAGAACATAGACAGGTTCCATTTTTCTTGCATGAACTACAGATAAGAGCTTTCATAAAATGAAGGCTTTGGATTTTGAGAAATTTTAAAGGATAATTTTCGGAATAATTCAAAAGAAATAATCCTGTCAGTTACTTTAAAAATGTTACAGATAAACATAAATAAAGATGACCATATACCAAATGAAATGGAGTGACTCTGAGTCTTACTTGTTTAAACCTGTGTATTCTGAGACAATTCAGTCTGTTTAAAAGGGTGGCAAGTTTTTCCAAAAATTATTAGATCAGATTGACATAGTTTTACACACAGATAGATAAGCTGTTTGTATGTGGTATTAACTTTGAATATCAAGAATAGCTGTATATTTGTATGCATATGTGTGTGTATATATCTGTCTTGTCATATTTGTAGAACATTTAACTGTATGCTGCCATATTATAATGTAACATTTTTGATGTTCTTTGGAATGATTATATGTATTAAAATATTTATTATTTGTTAAAACTGCATTTATTTTAATGTAGTTCCTATATTGTATTCTTCATTTTTGGAGAATGTAAGGTGATTTGTAATCACACATTGATAAAACAAAGAATTAAACATATTTCTGATTTCTGAGCTAGTATTTATACAAACTGGAACTGTATCTAACACCATGTACATTCCAAAAATCTACACAACAGGGTAACTTGTTTATAAGAAAGGATTAAATTACCATCGATTCTCAGTTCTTTTCAACTTATACATATAGTAGGTGCACAATACATGCCTCAGTTGAGTTGAAATGTGAAGTTCACTGTAAATTTCTCAAGTGCCTCTTGGATCAAAGACTTATCTTAGAAATAGCTTTGGTTTGGATAATAGATCACCATTATCTAATTCTTTTACAGTTGGCAGTTCACTTGTGGCAATGGTAACTTAATTAGAATATGAGCATATCTCACTCCCTAACCATGCCGGATAGCAGAAAGCTTATTATACTTGGATGTTTGGATGTTACATTCTCCAAAAAGACATCATAATTAATTATAATTACAGGGACAGAGCAGCGAGTATGTTTGTAATTTTCCAAGTCCAGATAGTTTTGTAAGTTGTTTATCATGTTGCCTTATTCTAGCTACCCACAAATGTATATTTCTCCTTATTTTACGGATGTCTTAGGACCACTGAGTTTTCAGAAGTAGGTCAAACTTTATACTCAGATTGTAGTTTTCAGTATCCAGTGTATTTTTTGGCTACTTCGCATCAATACTCAGATTGTAGTTTTCAGTATCCAGTGTATTTTTTGGCTACTTCGCATCAGTTAGACCAAGGATTGAATGTACAGTATTCCAAATAGGAGCTTCTTCAGGTAAGTGAAAAGTAATACTGGTTCAAAATGATCTTTAGCTTGTGGCTTCAGCCTTCTATGATCTTAAAGATCATTTTCTGGTTCTAGATACTAGGTTTTCATTTAAAATTTATGCTGTTTTGACTGACTGACTGAAACTATTTCTCCAGCAGGTCTAGATCTCAGTTCTTTAAAATTTTTTTCCTATTGTTTTAATTGTAAAGTGCAGTGTTTACTTTCTGTCTTGGTTTTAATTTTTTTTTTTTTTAAAG